TGCTCCTGATATAAATTTTCCGAGTAGCAGTGGAAAATTTTGTTGCGAAAAAGAAAGTTTTTCAAAAAATGGTGACGAATTCAATTTTTCATGTGTATTGCAGCTAACGGCCACCATCTTCCTGATATTGTTTTCAAAACATCAGTATTCTAAATGGTATGTTATGCTAACCTCGAGGAAAATAAACTTTCTTCTTTATGTAACTCCATTACTCTTTTATTTCGCCTCAAGACTGCTCAATTGGTTATGCCCCACCCTGTATATTGCGTAAATTTATTGCGAATTTTGTGTAGGCTCCAAGTATGCTGTGCTTGAAATATTGCGATAGACTACTTGATTGTATCATTAAGTATAAATTATATTGTTCGATTATGTGTGTATCACGATTTTTATATTATTTTCAAGTTGACGCAATTATCTGAAGCAACGTTGACGCAGTTGACAGCGGCCCCGCATCTCTAAAGCGCTGCGAGCAGCTACACGTGTACAAGTTCATACCTGTTGGGTTGGAGCACGTCGGCTTTAAGCTTCTTTCTCATTACGCATTAACACGTCCTGCTTGGAATACGTGTTTTCCGGGTAATCTGCTTGTCAAAATAGTATCCTCTTTACTCAGAGGGATACGAGTAAAAATTCGGTTTTCTATGGCTGACTGCGATAGTGAAGTTTAATTATTTTGGAGAAATTTTCTTAAACCGCCAGATAATTATTTTGAGTTTACGTCTACATTTCTAATTAAGTGGAGTCTACGTCTTTCCTACGAAAAATATTAAACATTAGGCTGCAGAAAAATAGTGACACGAAGTGATGAAGACATTTCACGCCTAACTTTTCAAATCATCGAGTGATAATTCGTTAAAACACGCAAGAATATACTTGACGAAAGTATTTCAAATCTAGCCGCTGTTAAAATAAATTACTTCGATACTCATCAAGCATTTTCCTGTAGCCTGTGCTCTGAGCTGAACCATTGTTCGTTATGGATAAACGAAGTATCTTTCAGCGGCTGTTATCTCGATTATAGCAGCATGTTCATAAAAAATGGCGAATGGAACCATCTAATCGTCACGGTGGGAGCTTTAACTTCTATCATTCGATGAAATAAATATTTGCAATACTTCAGTTAAATCTTTTAAAAGTACTCGACTGCCATGGCCTCTCCGATGGCGCAACGGTAGAGGGTCTGCTTCGCGCCCGGGAGATCGGAGTTCGAATCCTGCAGGCTGAGGCTTTCTTCAAGTCGATTTCTCACGAGTTATGTGTATGGTACTCTGATAATTTGTTCCTGTTACATGTCTGACATTGTTACTTGTACTACCAGGGTGTATATTCATTCCTCGTCCTCAGAATATGGCTGTCTGGAGCAATGTCAGTAAATGTAAATGCATCGTATATGAAGCTAAAGGAAAAATTTTTATCGACTTCATTTTAAAGGTGGCCATCGGTGGCTCATCGATGCGCCACCGGTGCCAATGGGCAGTTATTGGTGGAAGAAGATTTTTTCGAGTAGGGTGGCCATAGGCAGGTTATAGGTGGAACATAGGCCGGACACGCCATCGAGGCCGCATCGATGCGCCATCGGTGCTCCACCTATAATTTCCACCTGTAGCCACTGATAATCATTGATGCGCCACCTTAAATTTTTATTTGGGGGGTAACATCAAGCAGATATCTCTGGTATGGGTAATACATCATGCAGGTATCACTGGTATGGGTAATGCATCGTGCAGGTATCACTGGTATGGGTAACATCATGCAGGTATCACTGGTATGGGTAACATCATGCAAGGATCACTGGTATGGGTAATAACTAATAAAGGATTTACAACTAAAGGTACGATGTAATCCTGTTGTTACGGATATGGGTCACATAAATCGCAGGTATCCCGTGTAATTAGTGCACGTAGACTGCACGCAATTAAATGCTACATGCTTTCAGGTGCCGCAGGATTTACAAGCCGTAGCACAGGAGGCCTTGAATGCGTCGAGTAGCGCGCATCTTTAAGCCTGAGAGTTGCCATGGCAACGCCGCCGAGCGCTCAAGCAGCGGCAGCTGCAGCAGACCGGAAGTGAAGACGTGCAGGGAGAAATGAAGACAAGAGACAAGAAAACAGAAAAAGAAGAAGGCTGCAGTAGAAAAATTGTGGCATAAATAATAATCTTGAAATTACAGATTACACAGAGTTCGGTCCCGAGATTACTCTGGACTCAGAAAAAAACTCTCTAATTACTCAAGTTATCTGTGAACTAATTATTTTATTTAATCATACGTATAGTTTCACGCTTAGAAATGACAAACTGGCGGTCAAGTTCGGGTAGAAGTTCGATGTAAGACACGTACAATAAACTTATAACAGATGGCGAAAAACAGTCGACGGTCCTAACAAAGCTTGCAATTAATGTCGACTAGAGAACTCACATTTTATTAAAAATGTAAAATATGATGAGAGTAGTTCTGAAAAACAGAATTCTTGGAAAATTAGATATACAATTTTTTTAAAATTATTAATGACTTGCATGGGGGGATTTTTCAGGAGGTTAAATGAAGTTCGGAACCCGAAATAGCAGAGGGTCGCATTACATGAATAGTGGTGTGTATGCTGGGAGCGCAGCCGTGCACCACCAATTTTGTGCACCAATAAGCCCTGAATCGAACGCCTTGAATCTCTCCGGACCTACACCAATCAGCCGTGCGCCACTCGGCTTTGTCCTCTTCCGGCCTTGACCACCACCTGCCGTGCACCACCAGGCCGCGGATCGAATATGACTTCCGGGCATCGTTAAATTACGTAATTTTACGTTCACCGCATCTGAGGTTACGTTTCAGATAGCATAGTTCTGTTCCAAAATTTATCGTCCTTCGACAAGTGGCCGTTCGACCGAGGGCTGCTTCGACCCACGGCCTAGATACGGACGGCTTGAAGTGTTGAAGGCTACGTTCCGGAAGGCAGGAATCATGATGGTCCATAACATCCAGGGCAGTTGTGGTCTTCGGCAGGCGACCCGTGTATGCTTACAACTGAAAAAAAAGAAATAAACAAAGAAATAAAATACAATAAAAAATTACGATGGTGATCAACATGTAATACAATGGAATGATAAATAATGTTGTATCGATTAGCATATCAAGCCACACAATAATAATTGTAAATTATTTTGTGTAGCGCTGAGTCTTGAACAATTCACACAATCGTTTCTGTTCCACGAATGAAATGGCTGTCCCTTGCCAAAATTCACTTAATTTTTAAGCTTAATATTTTCATTAGGTAATAATGAACTAATTATTTAAATATTCGATGAACTTTATACTTTTACACACATTCGTTCATCAGTATTGCACAATATTACAGTAAAACTTCGCATTATCTATAGGAAAGCTAAATCCTAGTCAAATTATTATGGAGATTTAATAGTATCGTCCCCATACAAGATGCCATATTATGGAAGTTTTTAATAAAAAATTCCATGTTCAAGATGTTATTTATTCATGAGATTCACACAGAGTTTATTTGCCATTGGACATGGCACGGAGTAAGGTAAAAAATTAGTAGTGGAACCTGTTATGCCGCGCCCTATGGGTCGGCCAATGCGCCCAGGTTGGTAAGTTGGCCATCGAAGTGATAGATAAGAATCACAATCTGTCAAGGCTTGACACCTTAACAGCCTTGGGTTAGTTCAGGACCTGATCAAATTATATACAATTTATCAACTCTTTGTTTACAGGATTCTGTTGGTTTGTTGACTCGATTCTTTTAGTAACAAAAACTGATAAGAAATAAATGTACTACGTGGAGTAGATTGGAGTCTAATGTATATATGAAGGCTATTTGAAAGTTGGACATAAAGTTTTCGAATTTAGTTTGCGATGTAAAGGGACCTACAATAGAGAGTTCCTGGAAAATTATTCAGGCAGGAGTTCCTGGAAAATTATTAGATTGTTTGAAACTTAAAACGAGGGAATACATGTTCAATTCAAAGAAAATTCCTCCTGCTAAACAAATTATTCAAGTATCTATATTGAAGCATAACATATATAAGTTTACATTCCAACAGCACAAAAAGAATATAAACGAATATCTTGCAATATATCGTCACCAGTTACGTGAGTGAAAATTTTCAATAAGACGAAGAGGTGCAGTACTGAAAAATCATGGATTTAGTTGAATGTTTTGCACTCCCAATTCAAGCTTTAATTTAACTTTTACCATAGATTGGGTTAATACTTTTTTCTTCATGCATCATAAATCTCGATTTGTGTACGGAGGTATATTCGTGCCCAGAAGTTGGTCGTAATTTTCGAGCAATTTTATTATTAAGTAAGTTTGTTGTTCACAGAGGCTGGCTCACTACTTAGCATAATAGTATTAATGATATATTTAATGCTTAATGCTATATATTAAATATGACATTAAGGTGTTAAAACCAACCTCGATAAACATGATAAGGAAAAATTAAAGATAACAGGACTCTAAATATAACGATATCAGATTGTTCTTGATAAATTTTAACCCAATAAATCCTAGAAAAATATAATATAGACTTTGAATTGAATAGATGCCAAATAATTGTAAGTGATAATAATTGTATAAATCAATGTGGAGGTCCTTATTGGTCAAATCCAAATGATCCTTTTTGTTCATGCTCAAATTTAAGATTAATTGTGATTGAAAATATCCCTAAAACTAAGTACCTACCCATAATAAAAAATACCCCATATCTTGATATTTTTATTCTGATAATGAGCATTCGTTTTCAGTCCATTGAGTGGTACGAATGACAATGAAAATAAACAAAACAAAATGTAGATGTTTTTTGCTTACACTGGAACCATGGTATACAAATGAAATTTGTACATCAATATTTGCAAGTAAGTTTCATGATGAATAAACAGCTATGAGGTGCTAGTCAATGCGATGATTGAAACAATCAAGGAACTCGTTGCGTCACGATAGTTTAAGATCGCAACGGCAGCCGCGACCGCCGCGCCAGTCTTGGCTCGTCAGCCTCATCGCGCGGTGCCTCTGACCATCACTACTGGCTCTTGCATGTCCATGAACCTGTAGTAAGCTCATAGCTGACATTTACAGACACGTGTGTTACTTCTGGTGTGTACATGCGTGTACGGAAAGAAAAAGTGCAACATGTACTGCAATATAATGCCAGTGCATAGCCACATTTACGGGACCCTTGTAGCCATTGTGGCGTTCTCTGTGGTTCTTAGCAACGCCGAGGCTCCTTCGGAAGCGGGGCACGAAACAACGCAATGCCCTAAGGAACAACTCGCGCAGTATCGGGTGATCTTCAAGACTTTCTGGAGCGAGAAGGACTTTCCGAAACATTATCCTCAATGGCGACCTCATGCGCAATGGACTAAACTAGTCGGTAAGTATTCGAACAAAATATCCTCAATTTACTTTTCTCCATTAATAAGTCTTTAGTTATTAATGTTGGTATTGAAATTTCGTCTGTGTATTAAACTGTAAAGAACCTGCCGTAATATGGCCGTTTTATTTTACCATTAATTATTTTCCGAATTTTCGAAAGAAATAAATAGATTTTTAACACGGATTCGGCCCTTGAATTTTTCTGATGTCGCACGACTCTGACACTTTTACAGTTAAAAACACAACAGAAATAAATTAAAGTAAAGGCATTCAATGACTTAAAATAAAAGTTATTCGTCAATTAAAGCTTTTTAAGCGCTGCAACGAACTGCCATCTAACTGCATATATGAAAATTCCAAAAAGTAGATTCAATACGCGGCAGATATAAAAATACGCTGTAATAAAAATAAGTGCTAGAAGGAATATGTGCTGCGTTTGTTAACCTTACATGAATGGATATGTCATTGATACACTCGGCGTCAGAGGCACAAAATTACTGGTCCAAAACTCGCGACCCGAAATGTTTTCAGTCGCGAGGTACGGAGTCGGAACGAAATGCGCGACTGGCTTGATGTTATCGACTGACAGGACTGCCTTCTGACTTGACTGCCTCCTGACTTGACTGCCTTCTGACATGACTGCCTNAGTTACGAAGACGTAGATATACGGTCATAAGATGTTGAAAGGAATCTTACATAAACAATAATATACGCTGATATAAATAACTAAGGTAACTAAAATGAGAGTGAAGAATACACTAAACACATGAAATTATTCTAATCATTTCCACGATTCTCTTCATAGATTTGAAATCAAACATTGATACCTGTCTCTTATACACATCTAGATGTGTATAAGAGACAGCTCCTGTCATGACTGCCGCCTGTCATGACTGTCTCCTGTCATGACTGCCTCCTGTCATGACTGCCTCCTGTCATGACTGCCTCTTGTCATGACTGCCTTCTGTAAACAAGTTGTCAAGGGTTGTGTGGTGTGCGAGGAAATTTCTTCGTGTACCTTTAAATGTTTTTGGAATTATTTGTAAAGTTTTCAATGTACCTAAGTGATTTGAATTTGTAGGTTGCTTCTGAAGTGATTCGGTAAGATTTGAGAATCGCGTAAATAAACGTACTTTTGCCACGTTTTTCTTATTTTCGTTTCGTGTCCGTCTGTACAAGAAAAATCAAACCTTAATTAGAGGACTTCTGACGATCCTAGAAACTTCAAATTTGGCATGCATTCTTATGCTGCCTAACAATTCAAGATTTGATCATCAGAAGTAATAAGTTAAAAAAAAAAAAACTTAAAAATTCAAGGTTGGGAATCGAGTTTTTTTGTCGAACAACCAGAGTTGCCAACCCTGGAAAATGATTTAAATTTAAAAAAAGTAAAAATTCAAACCCGAATTTAGAGCACTTATGGCTTGCTTTAATATTTACTAAAATATTTCCTAAATAATAAAAATCTGAATTTAACGGTTCTGCAAAAACAGCGACGCTTAGAAACAGCTCGCAAAAAATACGCTCTAGAGCGGTCATTGGAAACCGTATTGCTGATACACGCTTTTCCAATAGATTCGGTCGATTTACCAAATTTTCCACTGATAAAATAGAGTGTAAATAAATAATTATAAAACCATTTTTAAAAACCACGTTTTTCTGGTGTTTACAGAACTAAAATCAATGAAATAAATCAAATAAAAAATTTTAAAAATCACGTTTTCTTGACGGACAAAAAAGAAAAACATTTACTCTTACTTAACATTACATAACATTTTACACAACTTTAATGTTATGTAAGAGTAGATGTTTTTCTTTTTTGTCTGTTAAGAAAACGTGGTTTTAAAAGTTTTTTTATTTGTTTTTATGTATAGGTGTCTCATTCGATTCAAATTTGCAAACCGTTTCAGAAATTTTCACTCTTTACACGTGCGGCACACGGAATAATGACAGAAATATAAGAGAACAGTATTAGTGGTGCCCGAAGATGCATAATGTAATTGCATGTTTTTTTAATCTCATCCATCAGCTGAGGTTTTTTTAGCATATTTAAAAGAAAAAAATACACTTGGTAGTGAAAACAATCATTCAAAGTCACCGTAAATGCTTCGTCCAGAATATGAAGACTCAAATCGTTATTTTAATCACATGTAGGACTAGTTCTCAAATATGTTAACTTTGAAGTTATAAGAAACTAAAATAAGTGAGTTGAAAAAAAACTTTAATCAAGGGAGCCTGCAAGAAACACATTAGACCCCAACTCGGTTACATTGATCTTAAAAGGTGCGTTCGTCCTTTTAGGTTTGTTAAATTCACAGCCTCTTATACAAACTAGTTTGAACTGAATTTATTACACCACATGTATCTGATCGATGGCCTTAATTCACCTTTACATGCATGTAAGGGACTGATACATTATTACTTCTGAATAACTTGGGCCAACAGAATGAAGGATGGTTCAAATTTTCAACAAGATTTGGTCATGTTAAATTTGGTAACACGATAGTTAATTAATATAGATTGCGGATTTTTTGATGTTTCCTTTTGCGGACAATGCTCGTGAACAAACGTGCAACATTCGGATTCATTGAGGTTTGTATATGCAGATTGTATTTGCATTGTAATTCATAAATGAATTAAGGCTCGTATACGCAGTTAAATAAAACGTTAAAATAATACGAATAATGTTTAATAAATTGTATAAACATTGCAGTTCCAACATAGGAACTTGGTTCACGCCAACCAGGATTGCGGGATCCCTGCTTCGGCTCAAAGTCGTGATTGTGAGCATGGAAACGTATTTTTATTTACACTCATATTTATTATTAATTTTTTCACTTATTTCGTTCATCAACAAGTCCAACTCTGTATGACACGTTTCGTAACGCTAATAATAATAGGTGGGGAACTTGCCTTGGTTTTCGAAAAAATCTTTGATGTTGCCAGCATGTTTTTATATAATTTCCTGGTCTCGTCATAATTTCATGGGAGTGTAGAGTTAGTCATTTTGCGACTTTTATTTTGTAATAAAATTATAAATTACCTTTACCTTGGCAACACCGTTATAGGAAGTTAACGTCGCGCACAATTTTCTCGTTGATCATTATCGTACGGCTGATCCCCGCTGCAGGTTAGTTTAAGCTCTAATAGGTTCCTTTTTATTGTCTGAATAATTGTTAAATTGTATTATTATTTCTCTATTCATCTTCAACGACGATCATTTATTAGATTTACTTTTCAACAGATACGCACGTTGCCAAGGGTATTATTCTTTACACTATTTTTCCACATCGTAATACTTATATTCAAAGCCCACCTTGTTGTTAATTTGCCTTGCATTAAAATCAGAGTGCCAGTCTCTTTCATTTACAATCCTGTTGGTTTACTGTGTGGGTAATGACTGGCACTTACCCCACAGGAGACTAACCATGACTGTTAGCATCAGATAAAACACTAATATTAGGTTTTATTATGTGAAAGTATGTACTTCGTGGTTGAAAGTAGAAATAAATTTTTGAATGTATGAATTTGTTTCTAAGGATGAACGAGTTTCTTGTTGTTTTTATGAGCTGCATAACCGCCAAAATTTAGAAAAAATCATTTTTCCTCAAATGTTTGTTGTACTGCACGACTGAAGGTGATTGAACGATAGGATGATAGGTGATTGTGATGAAAAATATTCAGTCAACGCGCATACATATTTTCGTAGCTGACTTTGTAATATGAGTTCTTGCCTTTTTAAATGACAATTTTAAAATTTATACCTATAACCTGACCTATGACAAACATTACAATGCGCCATTCGAATTAAATCACACGTAGTATGACAGAAACTAAATATTTAATGTATGAACAGTGATTTTTTAAACTAAGACTAAAGCTCATAAAATGAACTTGCCTTTTTAATCGTTAGTTTTAAGATATGAAAGCAGGTATCAACACTTCGTAAAATAAAACAAAAATTTACAACATAAATAATATTTTGCGCACATTAAAACATAATTGAGAGTCGTAGGAGCATTTAATTATGTTTTATGAGGAACGAAGCCCCTAATTCAGCCTGCATGTATGCACTTAACGAGCTCATCAAGCGCTCGTCGGCCGACATTAACGCGCGCTGAACCCAGATGCGAATTTCAACTTCGTTAAAAGCCGTGGGAAATTAACTCAAAATTTTAAGTGCATTTCAGCCCATGTTAAACAGCGATGAAAAAACTAACATATTTCGCAATATGTTGCAAACTAACATATTGCGCAACTAACATATTTCGCAATATTGCAAGGTTTGGGAAATAACGAACATCTCAGACATCATCTCAACATAATCAACATGAGTTACGAAGACGTAGATATACGGTCATAAGATGTTGAAAGGAATCTTACATAAACAATAATATACGCTGATATAAATAACTAAGGTAACTAAAATGAGAGTGAAGAATACACTAAACACATGAAATTATTCTAATCATTTCCACGATTCTCTTCATAGATTTGAAATCAAACATTGATACTGGATAATCGTCTGATGATATGCGAGAGTAATTTAAACCATGAGTCATGAGTTAACTGGGTTGGTACAATTTATACTACTCATTTCAACATGTAGTAAGAACTTAAATAACATTAAATTCATCCCTAGACATCAGATAATTATTCTTACAAAAGCGGACTGCAGTCAGCCATTATCCAACTAATCCGCCTAAATTTATCAACTAGGTGCCCCAATAGACGAAAATATTGTTTTCTCGAAAAACTTTCACCACAGTTAAAACAATAAAAAAATTAAGCAATTCAAGGAATCTATAAAATTCGATAGTAATTCATAGATACATCAAGTTAATTTGTACAGTTTACAGTCTGAAGGTTAAGTGTCAAAGTGTGATGATACTTTTTATAGAGTTCCATATAATTTATTCAAATTTTTATTCCCACGACAGGAAATATTTTTAAAGAAAAGTGAACCCATCCATCTAGTCTTGTTGCCGTGTCAGTCTC